GCAGAGGGCTTGATCCAGAGGACTACGTTGAGGACGGAAGCCACCTTGAGCAATATCCAGAGCAGGGGAGTGTTCATCCAGAGCCGGCATGAGACAGAACTCAAACAACATACGCACCACCGAAGTGAGCGAAATTGGTCGATAGTTACCAGGATCTGAAGCATCACCCTTTTTGAAAATGGGAAACACCTGAGCTTGTCGCCATAAACCAGGAGTATACGACCATTGGTAGCAGAGATTAAACAGCAGAGAGAGCACGGGGGCAATTTCTAAAACCAGAGCTTTTAACATCTCAGCTTTGATGTGGTCGGGACCAGGAGCTTTATGCGTCGGCAGACGTTTAATACATGATACCAAGGTATCAGTATCAAACAAGGACATGTCCGCAGGGAGGCAGAAAGGCAAATCAGAGACCATTGATGTAACAGAAGCAGGACGAGAAGCAGTATCTAATAGAGCACCATCGTAGACCGTAGCCAAATGAGAGCCCATAGTAGCAACAGAAGCAGCAGGACCGTCGGGGTGACTGTATGTAGATGAAGACTCTTTATAGCGTTTAATGCGTTTGATTGCAGCAGTAGCTTTTGAAAAGTCTCGTTCCAGAGCACCACAGAACGCTTGCCACGACCGGCGCTTAGCAGCTTGTATCAGAGAGCGAAACCGTCGATGGGCTTGCTTGTATAAGACCCAGCAATCAATCTTAGTATACCCTAAGGCATACCGCCATCGACTGTAAAGACGATCCCGTTCAGTAGCAGCATCTTGGATTTCTTGGGTCCAGTACTTCTTCCAATGGCCAGGACGACCAGATTTCACACCTATTGAGCTATCCAAACATTCATACAAACATTGATTCAAAGAATCGTTGAGTGCATCTATGCCAGGACGAACGCCAGGGGGAGCAGACACCAAACCAGACAGAGTACCAACCAGAGGAGACACTGAAGATCGAAAGGATTCACAGAGTAAGCCCAAAGGCTTCTCTTTCGTCAATTTCGAGAGCTTCCACTGACGCCTAGGAGCCAGACCAGTATCACCAGGAGCCACAGTTTCACCAACATCAGCCACATACCCAAAAGTAAGTGTCATCAATCGATGATCAGAACCAAGAGACAAGTCAGACTCAACCACCAGCTGAGCATCCAAAAAGGCAGACTCCCCAATGTTTGTCAAGAACAGATCAATGATGCTACTCAATTCCTGCTGCTGCCGGAAAGAAGAGTATGTCTTCACACCAAACGCTAAAGATGCATTGAGTACAGACAAACAATGTTCATCAAACCAAGGTTTGAGAGCATTTCCTCGAGCATTGGAGATAGAATCCCCAGTCAAAGGACCCAACCTAGCATTAAAGTCGCCACACAGAACAGTATCTCGAGTCAGAGGCAGAGAGTTGAGAGTCGAGAGCACCCTATCAGATGATAGGGGTGGTGGTAGGTAAACACAATGAACCGTAAGGGTGCCAACCTTGAGGGACAGAGTGTGCGGGTTGTAGGACGGGAGTTGGGAGACCATAAAAGGACAAGAGGGAGAGACAAAAGCAGAGATACCACCAGAGCCACGGTTGAAAGCACCAGGTACTTTCGAACCATACAAGTGATACTGAGACCAGTCAATTGGGTAAGAACCAGAAATGAGCCAAGTTTCAGTGACAAACAGAACATGAGTATCAAGAATATGAGAAATAACATCATGAACTGTTGTTTGACGAAGACCATTCGCATTCCATAGGGAGAGAGAGACAAAAACCGGGGGGACAGACACATTACTTACATTACCAGAACATGATTCATTGATGAGAGACATTAAAGCTCCATCTCAGAATCAGTGGAAGTACCACGGCGACGCTTGAACAGAAAAGCAGCCTTGGTGGGGTCTTTTTTCTTGAGTCGGTCCATAGCATCAGCAACAGCTTCGTCCAGTTCGGCTTGACCAATCCATCCGAGCTCCAAGAACCAACGGCCAACACTACTCACATTGAGTGGGCGGATGTGGGACAGGGCATCGACGCAACGAGTATTGACCATCTCAGCAGTGAGTTCCATACGATCGTGTTCAGTGTAGTCAGCGTACTTGGGATCGGCAATATTAGCAGGATTCAATGGGTCAAAATCAGCCAAGATTTCCGATCCACTTTCACGGAGCAGAGACAAGAATTCATTCACATATTGGGTATGTAGAAGAATACCAATAGCTTCAGATGCAGGGAAGTTGATATCCAAGATACGAGAGGTATCCACACCAAGTTGTTTGAGTGTGCGTCGAATTTCAGAGCGTAAAATCTTACCAGATCTACCAATATAGACATATTGATATCCTTGGGGACCCTTTGTAGCAGACGTTTTGAAAAGACGACCAGCAGCCAACTTTCTCTTGGCAGCTTTGGTAGGGTCAGGGCGATGAGAAGCCTTCTTAGCTATAGCAGTATAGCTAATAGTAGCAGGATCAGTAGTGGCAGTAGCAGTAGTGGTGGATCCAGATCCCCCCTTGGTGGGTGTGTGTTTAGCATATTCTTGTGACGTAGCCTGCAATTTTTCAATGACCAGATCCTTGTCTTGTAAAATTTTTTTCAATGTTTGGTTTTCCTTTTCCAAAGCATCGAGACGAGCCAAAATACCATCATGTTGATTAACACGTTCAGAGAGAGAGGCAAGTTGTTGTTGTAACTGTTGCATGATAACAGTAACCTGATTCATGTCGGTTGGGTGCTGAAACTCGGGCATATTGCTGATTATTTTTTTAGAAATTGTTAGAGATCCAAAAAAATATGGAGGAGGTGTTCAATAAACTTGAAACTATAACACAATAAACAGAGACTAAAGGCACGTATAATGGTATAGTTTTGGAGTTGATTGAGTTGCTGATTGTTGAGAAAATAGCGTTTTTCGTGGTTTCAAGAAGACTTTTTACGAAAAGGGTGGCAAAAAGTGTTGGAAAAACGAAAGAGATGCCTGTTTGGCTCAGTTGGCAGAGCGTCTGCCTAGTAAGCAGAAGGTCAATAGTTCGATTCTGTTAACAGGCAATCTTTTTTTAAAAGATTTTTTTTCTAATCTGGAGGAGTTGTCAGTTGCTCACAGACTTTGTGTGTAACCTTTATCATTAGTATTAGATATTAGGGGTATTCAAATAGCAAAAAAAAAATTAAATAAAAAAAAAATAATTAAAATATTTCAGCCAATAGATTCGATATACAAGTGAATACCCCATTTTAATAAAAATTTGATGATTTTAATTAAAAATTTAAAAACAAGGAAGGAGCTTTGAAAATTGAGTAAATCTTTGAAGCGTCGGGAGACTGATCCACTTCCTCACCATACATGGTGCCACCATGTTGTTTGGTTGGCTAGGTGGAGATGATCTGCCATAATTATAGACAGAAGATCATGACAATGAACTTCAATTGAAGATTGAAGATTGTCCAATGATGTGATGTGATACGCTTGTGTAAA